ACCAGATACTGACTGGTTTTCGGACCCCCCCAGACCCTGAGGCTGTGCGAAGTTGCTGGATATTGGCAGGAACTGGAACACGCTGTCGTATACGCCGATCCAGAGCATCCCAAACATGCTCAATGGGTGACATGTTAGGGTTAGGGTTAGGGTTTAACCCTAGGGTTTTCGGACCCCCCCCAGACCCCCCCAATAAAGCAAGAGTGGCCTTTTATTGTGGCCAGCCTAAGGCACACCTGTGCAATAATCATGCTGTCTAATCAGCATCTTGATATTCCACACCTGTGAGGTGGGATGGATTATCTCGGCAAAAGAGAAGTGCTCACTATCACAGATTTTTTCAGATTTGTGAACAATTTTGAGAGAAATGGTTATTTTGTGTATATAGAAAATGTTTTAGATCTTTGAGTTCATCTCATGGAAAATGGGAGCAAAAACAAAAGTGTTGCATTTATATTTTTGTTCAGTGTAAGTAGTAGCACGTGTCACCTGTCACACCACCTGTCACTTGTTATGCATACTAATAGAACAAAAGGGGTATGAATATCACTACTACCCTTAGATCAGAGGGGGATTACATTTTCCAACTTCTCTGCCCTCATCTAACCTGTGCAAACCTTTAAGGCAACACAATGGAATACACCAAAACAAAGGATCTCAGAAATGGGAGCCACCGACACAAATAAAGAGCATGCTTTTTTCTGGTGATATGGGGCTGAGGCACATTATCAGCCGAAGGTCTTCCTGTACAAGCACACACAAAGGACGACAAGCTGCAGAACGCCCAGTGAGGGTCCTGTCCTCCGCAACTCTCAGCACTGATCCCTCGCTCTGCCTGCCTACAGCATTGATTCCTCAGCTCCGAGCAACCGAACGCCCCCACACCATCTTGGTGAGATTTGAAACAGGCAATAAGAAAAAAGTTGAATCTTCTTTGAGTGAAAACTGAATCCTCCACGGGCCTCCCTGTTTAGCTATACCCACACTTGCTCCATACCACGCACAAAGTGCACAGAATCAGATGCGCATTAGAGATTTCAAGTGCCTTTCATTTTTTCTTTCTCCAGAACAATCAGCATCTCAATATGCCTCACCAATCTACTCCCTTTCTTCCCAATATCTCTGTGATCCACCCCATATCTGATGCTTAACTTGACAGCAGTCTTTCATCATAAAGTGGATGGAAATGTGCTTGGAAATCACTCTACTCCACTCTTTTAACCTTGTTTCCTTAAACTATTTTTCTATACCTGGGCTTGCTTGGCAACTTTTGCCCCTTCCGTTTTCTTTTACAGAGGTGATCCGTCAGTCAGATTTTCTGTCAGTCAGCGTGTCACAAGGCAAAGCCGTTCACAAGAAAGTTATCTAAGGCAGAATGTTGCCTGTGGAGGAAACTAAGTGTTTCCATATACGCTCTGTTTCATTTGATGGAGCGGAAAAAAAAGCTGGCCCTTTGTTCAGCCCTCCCTCTCTATAAGTGCAATAAGCAGGTGAAAATAAATCTAATTTCACCCACTAGTATGCCAGCTGAGACAGCTAAATTTAATTCAGCAAACAACCAGCACAGGGCACACTTTCTCTTTTTCTCACTGGTATTGCACTGGCAACATCTAAGAATGTCATCTAAGAGTTATTGTAGCTTGGACCATATTAACATCGTGGACACACACAATTATTTAAATCAAATAAAGAGTTTGCTAATTGGGGATATACTGCTTATTACCTTAATTGCTAAGAGTTACAATAAAAGTTTCATTGAAACAAGTGATTGATGCTGTAAACTGAACAAAATGAAAACACACAAAACTGGTTATTTTTAAGTAACATAACCACTTAGCTAGGGGTAAAATATATTTGTTTCCAATATACATAAAGTAAAACAGTATATTTTAATATTTTAATGTTGTGTGATTTTTCTTTATTTTGCTTTTGCACTCAAATCACTAAGAAGGTCCAAAAGAAATGTGTATCAATATGCTATATCAATATAAAAAAATATGTATGCCATATTTCTTGTTAATGGGGAGGTCATGATTGAATTCAATGAAGCTGACCCCAATCAGACTTAGCATGTAAGTCTGTTTGAGTGCTTGTTATCCTTAAACCCACAGAACTCTGACCGGCTCGCCTCAGATCAGTGTTCACTAAGCTCTTTAGGGCGAAGAGGATCATCTGGCATAAATGTGTCTTGCTCGTATACAATCCCATCGCTGCCTGGCTGTTTGCTTTGATAACTCCAAATCCAAGAATCACCGTCTTTATAAACCCAAGCTTTCAGCTAACATTTACCCAGCCGTGGTGTTCCCACCCTGCTTGCCAATTTTGCAAGGCTTCATTTATTACATTTAGGCTGGACGGTTGCGAGCCTATGGTTTTCTGCCGGCAAAGTGAGCGAATCCGCTGAGTGACACACGGCATGATGAGAGGAAGGAAGAATGTGGGACATGAAGGATGAGAGAGGCAAAGAGGGATGGAGGAGAGGAAGAGCAGGAGGAGGAACGAGACAGTTTACACACACCATCTGTGCATCAAAGGTGTGGCTCTGCTGGATTGCCTTCAAGATGCACGTCTGTGTGATTGTTTTTGAACGAGAGATCTCTTGAATATAGATAGTCTCATTTTCACTCCCCTGTCTACAGAGATCACCCATTTTTCTTTATTTCATCTGCACATGAGTGAGCAAGTCGGCTCGACTGTGTTGTTGTACCCTGCTGTGTGCACAAAAAAAAAATTTCTGCTTCTGAGCTAGGGCTTGTAATTATCTGCTATATGGATGTGGGTAGCTGAACGACATGTAATGAAATTAAAACTTTTGCCATACTTTAAAGTTTTCTCCTGAAACCCATCACCACATTTATAGTCACATTTACTTCTTATATGCCAGAGGAGTCAATTACATGACTAAGAATTTTGTATTTAAGCTCCTTTTGCCTCCAAGAACACTTTCTTCACAAAATGTTCCCTTGTGAGGCTTCACAGTAACACATGAAAAAGGTAGATGAACTAAATGTTGCTTGTAAACCTCACACAATGAGCACAATCACTCCAGGGGATTACAAAAACAGAATGATTGCACCTTCTTCTCTCCATCAGTTTCATCACACGGGGGAGTTTAAGTTTTACAATATGACAGAGAGCGTCTATCACAGCATCTCCGCCCCACGCTCACTAGTTTCTAAGTTATAGACTTCAAATCAAATCTACTGAAAGCCTTTGAGACTTCTAGAGGGAAGCCGGTTTTATTGAGAGCGTTTGATTGGTCCCCGTCTCGCTTGAATTGCCCCTCTGAAAATAACAGACATAAATTCCTGCGTGGCTGCGCTCCAACCAGACACCTCCACATGTCTGGGTGGCGAGCAGACTGCTATTAGGAAAGAAAACCCCAAGTGGCTCGTCTCCCACCAGCGTCTAACAGCACATTTCTTATTTATTAATCCTGACTCAAAGACCTCTGCAACAGTTTTTCCCGCTACACTTTTGCTGTGAATCCAGCCCATCAGCAGTGATCTCTGGTGCATAGTTGGTGCCATTAGCAAATAGCATCACACACCGTCACATTGAGGCTGGACGGCAGCGAGGTACTCTGCTTTCTCTCTCGCATTCGCATTCTAACACTATTCATCCCACCAACTGTTTCACACTCACAGGGCTTACAGCCATCACATTTGTGGGAGTAATGGGCCTGGGAAATTACAGCAGATCGGGCCTCAGCGGGCTCCGCCTGGCAGCCACCAGGGAGCAGCGAACAGACGTGCTGATTCTACAGAACATGGTCTCCTGGTCGGACAGAAAGAGGTGCCCTGGGAGGGAGGGAGGGAGGGAGCCAAGGAGGGATCATGTTAACATCCGGTGGCAGTGATTTTCATTGTTGTGTTGGTGCGAAAAATGGGCCAGTGTGTGTGTGTGTGTGTGTGTGTGTGTGTGTGTGTGTGTGTGTGTGTGTGTGTGTGTGTGTGTGTGTGTGTGTGTGTGTGTGTGTGATAGAAAACTTTTGATAATCTTCAAATTGGGAGTCTAGTCACATGTCTCTGGGTTTTTCTGCAGAAGTTTGTCAAGCCCAAGTGAACACAAGAGGCTCTGGGCAACAACCTGTCGAAGCACAATTTCCTGGCCGATTTCATTGATTATTTTTCAAGCTTTGGTTGTGCTTGCCACGGCAATGGCTCACAGTTTGCCAAGACAAACATGCAGCACACAGACAGACAGAGGCAGACATGCAGCTGAAGCAAGCGCCCCCTCACACGCAGATGGTCTGAGAGATGCCTCAACAATTAAACCGATCCATTTAAACTCTCTCACTGTAACAAGCTGAAGGAAGCCTGCTGCTGGATCTTGCTGTTCTCTGAGGCGTGCTGATTCCTCTGCGCTCTGTCGGGCCCCCCGGGGCCTTGTGTGACCGAGCCCTCTCTTAATTACACCTGAGAGCAGCAAGCAGCTGCTCCTCTTTCACATCTGTTTCTCCATCAATCAAGCCTGTGGAGGGGCATATGGAAATCAAACTGGCAAATATGGAAGACACTCATCCTTAATCTTTATTTTACTGTGTTTTAGAAGATTTTGAAGCTTTGCTTTGATATTAAATCTGACTTTTTTCCTCAGCCAACAGACATTGCTCACCTTGTCCTGTGAGTGTTCATGATGACAGATGTTGTAATAAAGCTATTTTTGAAAACAAAGTTGTGATTCATTCATGGCTCAGCTCTAAATATGATGTTTTTCTCAAATTTGGTTGACTTTCATCATGTATTTTTAATAGAAATGCTTCATCTCAGGGTTGTAAAAATGTGGGCCGGGAGACAATGTTGGCAAAGAACACAGAGCAGTAAACAAAGGAAAGCTTGCTATAGGAAGTCAACACTGTGCTATTATATCTCCTTATATAAATAAAACAAAAGAACAGATTATATCATAACAGGTAAACAATTGGTTTATGATCATAGAAACTCCACCTGTTCCCTGCAGCTGCATCTTCAGATATTGGCCAACATCAAATTAAGAAAAACGATGGATGAGCGTTAATGCTTTATATAGCAGCTGAGCAAATATTTCCTAACAGAAACCATGTTTCTTTGTTGGATTTATTGGCACTACTTACGAAAGTAAATATTTATCAGGGCTCGAAAAGTTGAATTGTGTGGGTGTAATACAATCTGGCAGCTGAAAATATTTCTGAAAGACAAAATCTTGAGATTGAGTCGCAAGATAGAAATCTTCACACCAGTGCCGCTTTGCATTACCAACACCAAAAACTATTTTTGCAACATTTTGAGAACAAACAGGCTCATCAATATTGCAGCTCGATGCTGACTCACATGTTGCATTTCCTCTATGCAACAGTGCAGACTGTAATTTTCAGCCGTGCATGTCAAAAGTAATTTAACACCAAGGACACATTTCCTTTCAGTTGCAGTGCTGTGTCATCTACTATTACATTTTATTGTTTAGATACCGCCTGAAGAAAGGATTTAAAAAGCTTATAAAATGATTTTACTAACTCCTCTATTTTATTATGTTGTAAAGATTTATTATTAAAGGTTTAATAAAAGAAAGCCTTGTGGCTATAAAACTAAGAATATTTCCATCTAAGGAAGCCCTGGGAGGGAAGTAAGATAATCCTGGGGATCCAATGTCCAAGTCTGATCTGGATTAGTAAGAACAAGTTTTATCTGGCAAGACTGTGTTGCACAGATTAAATAAAACCTTCTTTCTACCCGGTCAGAAGTCCTGAACACAAGACACAAAACAATAAAGATCAAAATTACAAATTGGATCATAGGCATTTTTTTCTTTCATTTGCCTCTCAGGGTCACCTGAAGCTATCTAAGACACAGAATAATTTACTGCATATACATCAGGTTATGATAGTTATGCTTGAGAAATCCTAAAATCTAATTTGTCCACCATGGTCAACTCTTTCAGACAATATTCCGAAACCTACATGATGCATATGCACTATATGTCTGTCACTAAGTATATATGTAAGGTAAGTGGGAGCAGCACACTTTGTTGGCGTTTATTGCTAAGTTTTGGAGAAAAGTGGCTTCATGGCCCCGGTGTACAACACAAAGACGGAGAAGTACTCAGTGGCCCCTCTGCAGAGGAAGTCAGGGTCCACCTTCAATACATAATCACAGTAATGAGCATTTGTCTCTCAGTTTCGAAGTCTTTCTAACTGAACAAATCCGATTACATGATGCTAATAAACCATTTTCCAGATCCCACTTTGAAGGTATTGAAATTCATGACACACTGGCGCTGTGGCAACTGCACACATTTTATTCAAATATAAACTGCAGATCTCACTGTATACAATCATGTATTATAAAATGCACAGTTGAATCAATCTGAACAGTGTCAGTTAGTCAATAACATATACAATCTCTATGTATACTCTAATCCTATTTCTTGTTTGGCAATCATAAACTGTAATATTGGATCAATAGTGAAGTTCACTCTAAACTTACTCAGCGCTCAGGAGTTTCAGCAGATATTGATTCAATAATGCAGTTTATGTGCATAGCGTTGGATGAGATGCCTGTTGAACAAAGATAGGAGAACTTACACACAGAAATGCAAGATTCATAAGACACCGCAGGCTTTGAGAAACTAGAAGAGAGGACAGCTGTTCCTAGATCGAATGTCTTTGTCTTGTCATTTTTTTATTGTTTTTCTTTTTGGTAATTACACAATGACCCATCTCCTTGTTGATCTTTTGCAAAACATAGATAATATAGTCATAATGACACCCATAGTCATCATTCCATGTTAACAACAGGGACATTTACTCTTTAAAGCTGTACTGATATTCAATATTTTCGGAACATGTTAAATTTGTAAATGATGGTCCCATTTAGAGTAAATAGAAGATGAAGGGGCTTCATCTCAGTGTAAAATATGAAAGATAAATTAAGCCTTTAGATTGCCTAAAATGTATGTTCAGCGTTTAGTTGAACTTATCTCCATACTCTTGTCACTTCTGGTTCCAAAGAAAACAAGTTGTTGATGGCCAAATTTAAAGCTTAAAAAGGTCATCCACAAACCAATGGGTGACATAATGGTGACTGATTCTACTTTTAATATACAGTCAATTTCTTTTAACCTAACACACCTTTCACCGTTTGTGTTCACTTCTATTGCTCTCATCAATCTTGTTTCCATCAGCAGTTGTACACTATACCTGCCCAGAACCAAAAAGTCAACAGACACAATTAGTGACTTGCTGTTGAACATTGTGGAGCATTTAGCAGCCACAGGGTCAGATATTTCAGATATTGGTGAAGACCCTTACAAATGTTAAGGAGAGTGGATATTGGAATAAGAACTCTAAATTAATGCTAATGTTTCTTTTTGTGCCTGCTAGCATGCCGTGTAACCTTTACGAGTCAATAGTATGTCGATGTTGTATATAAAACTCCTGTCTGCTGCAGCAAACATACATGCTAAGAATGAATCAACTAAAAAGTAAAAACCCAAAAAAAGTAGTTGTATTTATTACTTGAATGTGCATGGCAGAAATAGTGTCACAGTGAAACAATTGTCTGTTGCCTAATGTCTAGACATTTTCTTGGCAGGAAGATTTTAGGTACTTTTCGGTCGTTACTTATTTCCTTGTTGGCATGCAGCAATCTGTTGACAAGAGAGCAGCCTGACTGGTTTAAACTCAGCATTTCATGTCACATTGCAGCCATCCCACATTCTGATCAGATATCAGATAAGGTAAAAACATGTATTACACCCTACTAGCTGCACTGAACGAGTGACAGCATTGACACTTTTTTTCTTTTACGTAACAAAGGATTTTTATGTTTTAAGCTATGGTTTAAGCTATGGTCACAAAATAGTAAACGATTTTGAAAAACACACGTGTAAAAATTCTTCTTCTTTTTGAAACCCAGTCTCAGTCATATGTATCTAAAAAGAAGAGGGAATGAGGACATTATCAACATGACACTGAAACTATACTGTAGCTACAACTGTTTCACAATCACCAAGTAGTGATTATTCAACAGATTTCCGAGCACAGTTAATGCCCTTAAAATGCCTTAGAGCTACATTGCAAAAATGTTAAGAATCAGGTTCATCACTACGAGTAAAACTTTGAGTACAACGAGAATCATATCACGGTATTTCCCTGGTTCTGGGAGGCCTTTGCCTTCCTGTTTTTCATAAAAAACATCACCCCTAGAATCACTCCAACCACCAGCATCCCCACCAGTCCTGCACCCACAGCATAGGCAGTTACATTAGAGGTTTCTGGCTGTTCAGTCACTGGTTTTAAGGTAACATGCTTGATTACTCTCAAAATGGTCTCCTGTTTAGAGACACACTTGTGTGTGTCATCCCAGAAAGTGTCATCACTGTTCTCTTCTTCTTCTGTGTCTTCCTCTCCACCATCATCATAGTAATCCAGGAATACAGAGCCCACTAAAACAACACACCAGTACACCCCTCCATCTTTTACCTCCAGGTTGGAAATGGTCATCGTGGCCCCATTCTCAGACAGTCTGCCCCTCAGATCCTCCGGGACGGGAACATTCATGTCGTTTGAATCGTGGATAAGTCCATTCTCGCCCGATGGTTCTCGACGGTACCACTGCACACTTAGGGAATGTTCTTTGTCAACATCACAATCTAGCAACACGCTCCTGCCTTCTAAAACCACTTTATTTTGGGATTCATTTTTGGGGCAAAGATACAGAGAGTACCGCACTTCAAACAAAGAGGAGAAACAGGAATATTCCCCACTAAGTTCCTCAGAGAAGGCAGGAATCACCAAAGAGAAGTCCTCTGATTTCTCATCAAGTGAGAGGTTCATCTTCATGTTGCTACTATTGAACAACCCCAGTGGGGTCTCCCATTGCTGGTTGGTTCCTTCAGAGGGGCATTTTAATACAACTCTTTCTCCTTGTGTGGCAAAAATGTCCCTGCTTTCACTGTTGTCTTGTAGCTGCATGTTTTGGAAACTGACACAAGTCTTACCTTTGCTCACAAGACAGTAAAAGTGGCTGTTGTTCTCTAATGCGCTTTTGTCAAACAAGAGGGACGCGCCATTGTTTTGGACCTTTATTACTCCCTGCAACTCCTTCACCAGAAGGTCCAGAGCCACACTGCTATCCAGTAACAGTATAGGCTTGTAAAGTGGATATGTTTCATAGTACCAGCGTACGGAGGTTCCTTCTGAACCAATGGAAGTGTTGTTGCACAGAAGCTTGGCACCTTCATCTTCTTTCACAACGATCTCTTCAGATTCAACCTCCTTATCGCACACAGAGAGCTGCTGGGTGTTCTGGCTCTCTAGAGTCTGGTGCAGCCAGCATTCCCTCCTGTAAATCCCAGAGTCCTTGTGTGTGAGTTGACTGATCTGGAGCCCAAGCAGGTGCTGAACTTTGTTGATGTGAATGCGACCCTGGAGGTCATCAGGAGGTGTAGATGGGCTTTCAGACGAGGAGTTGCCAAGAAGCTGGTCTCCCTCCGGAGCACAACGATAAACAACAATATAATCCACTCCAAAACAATATCCCATCTCGATAGTGGTGCCCTTTGCTCTGAACACTGGCTCTACTTCCTTACTGAGGACCATGTGGAGGAGCACGGGAAGCAGAAACTCAAGGAACCTAATGGAGGTCATGGTGTCTGTCACCCTCAAGGAAGTGTGCTTACTGTAAGCCTTGTAATTCATTCACTTTGGTTTGTCCCTCTAGCTCCGCCTCCAGCTAATATCAGTTCCTGCTCCACATTCTTCCACAAACACTCTTAGTTTCTGAGTGACAGGCTAATGAACACACACAGACACATACACATATACACCAAACATACAGGGGAAGTTATTGACAGGAGTCGTCTCAAAGTAACTGGACATTAATGTTAAAAACTGTCTGAAGTGCGAGACAACCAATAACGACAAACATAAGCCATGAGACAGAACATGAAAAGGGGATTATCCTAGTTGTACATTAACTGTGTTGAAGGACAGGTTTTCACTCCACTATGGGAGCGCTCAGTCACCGTGCAAGGTCGCTTCACAGCAGTTGAGAGGGAGTGTTAATGTGCATGTGTGCTTTTTTTCTGGTCAATTAACAAGTATTTGAACGTGTATGCAGTGCATGTACCATCATGCTCTTATTCATTGAGCACACTAATCTGAACTACATCTAAACATCAGGTAATCTATCTGGCAGTGATTCCTCTGGAACCGTGAGAAAACACAAAGGACTCATTCAGTATTGTTTTATTTATCAGCTGAAAGGATCTGCGTCTTATGGTTTCATACCTTGCAACAGTTGAGCAATATGATATGCAACATAAAAACTGTAAAATCAAAATAGCCTCAACTCAATGAATATTAAACCATTTAAAACATGTGTGGTCATCTGTGCTTCTACAAGTGGCGTCATGATGTTGCACGTAAGAAATGTGTTTTATTTGGTTAATATTGAGATTTGAAATTGTAGCTGTCTTCGTGAGTGTATAATTCCTTTTTTAATAACACAATATAGCTGGGAGAGTATAATCTGTTAATAATAAATAGCTCTTGCCCGATCTCCTGCCCAATAAGTAAAGGTGTCCCCACAAATCCAATGTTGCTCTATACTACACGGTTTCACACTATGAAGCTTTGTGTAACAGCTCTTTCCAGCTAATGAAATGTAGATGAGAATACACTACAAATATATACATTTCTTACTGGTGATGCATTCAAGGTTAAACTCCTTTAGTTTTAAATTGTACAACCAGGAAACACAATAGGAGCAACAAAAGAATAAACTTATGCTAAGCAATGTAAAACAGAATGTTATTTTACTCTTACATTAGAGTTTAATATGAAAAAGTCTCCTTTATCAAGAACTGTGTTGTTTTTGTTCAGCATGCTCTCTCTATCTCTTTCGGTTTCTCAGTCTGTAAATGCCCAGGGCTATCTCTAGTATTATATGACAGAGTACACTGTCGGGAAAACCCTGTACTTTAACCAACAGTGCAGGAAGTGGGTCGGAGGATAATCTTTGTATCAAATGATGCCTTTGCAGTGGACAATAGAAACTACTTTTTTAATTGTATTTGGACAAAATTGCCTCTGTGATGAGGCGTATTTAATTTCTTAATTCAACAAAGCAGCACCCGGTGTGTGTGAGCATCTGCAATGACTCTGACAACTGGTACCAAATTGTGCTTGTGGTGCTCAGTGGCAGTTTGGAAAAGCTTTTACTTTCATTCTTCCTTTACATCTCTGTGCCCACATTTAATCGGAAAACCCCCATTATGCTATTATTCTTTGATTTGGTGACGGTGCTGTAACCTGGTTACAGTTGAGTCCTTCATTTGAGTGTTATAAAACACAATAAAGTTACAGTAAGTACATTGCGTCGTCATGTCACAAGTCTAGGCAAGTTATGCACATTGGACACCACCATCATATTTATAAGAGGGGTAATTGCATCTCAGTCTCAAACAGATCTGGGGACTTGAATTCTGCATACAGCCCGTATCCTTTATGCATTTGTTACTTATCTTTGCCAAGTAAGCTTCCAAATGTTTTTGCTTGAGTTGGCTCCTAAAAAAACCTACTTAAGTTCCTCACACCTGCAGAAATAACAGGAGCACTATTGCCAGATGTGTTTGATTGCGTGACTTTGCTTAAACACTTGATACAGGTAGGGGAAACTTTAACAGGTTGACTGCAAAGAGAAGAAGGGTGAAAGACAGTGTTTACCCTGCAGGCCTACATGCTGTTTTATGCCTCTGCTCCACACAAAATAAAGTCCTCTCCCATGAAACACATGTCTCTTCTCTGTGTTGTGCTTGGTCACAATCTACCTATCACATCATACATATCTGTGCAATCTGATGACCAGCTCACTCCTGTCAACATATTGGATAAAGGAAAGAGGCACCAACCTGTTTTCCTTTGAGGCGCATCATCTGTTTACTGGTACATAAACTCTAATGAACCTAGCTACCCACTCAGCAGCAGCGGCTCTGGGAACAGCTTGCAGAGCTGGTGATCAAGCATCATGATTAAGCACCAACTGTGAGAAAACTCTCCGTGTGTTCAGTCCAATTCAGCCCTGCACTGATTAGGCTCATCAGGGCCCCGTATGCTGCAGGGCTTGGAGGCGCACCAACTGCTGTTTGAGATACAGACTTTTGCCACAGATATTTCACTACTGGACATATGGGCTACAATAAAAGAGCAGAGCTTTGAAAGGAGGAATACATTAGGGCATTGGGAGCATGCAATGAATTAACACTTTTCTACATTGTGCATGATGCAATAAAAAAAGGAAATCAAAGTTATTTCAGGGTCACATTTGTATTTTTGATGACTTAGTAGTGTTTTCCTCAAGTATTGGACACCGCGTCTGCACGACGCTGATCTCTCTTAATAGCAGAACAGGAAACCAGTTTCATAACACAACTTTGGTCGGATAGAAAATGATGTTAATGTTGATGCTAAAGAGTGTATTATCTGAAGATAGGCCCTTCAGCGGTGTTTCCTTTGATGGCTCCATGGGTTTTTGTGTGGCCTGAAACAGATTTGTATTTGTTAGAGGCTTAAAAGGAAAGGAAACAATAAGATATACCTAAAAAAGTGCATTTGAATACTATGTTAACAATGAATATAGGGTATTTCAAACACATTAACACAGATGGTGCTAAGAAACCTTGGACAGTAGTGACAGGATTTGGGGTGGCAGTACCGGAAAAAGGTCTTGGAATCAGCAGAAGAACATCTGATAGATTGGGGGTGAGGAGAAAGGAGAAGGCCGATGGACTGTCAAAGGGGCCTTTAAAGAAGGGTATTGTAGAAATGCAAATACATGTAAGTAAGGCCGAGGTCAAATGTGTAATCTGGGAGAAAGTAAATGTGGCAAGAAAGGTAGGAAAAAGAGGGGAAAGGGAGGCATCTACATCAAATTCAAAATAGTGTCGTGTAGTGTCTGTAATAGGAGAGAATAAACCATGTTGAACAGATTGAGATTAGGGCACTGTGCACAAAACATAATGTTAAAATTAATAGTGCACCAGACTGGTTTGTCTGGGAGTCAATAGAGTACGCAGTAAAGAGATGTAAAAGTATGAAACATAGAGGGAGGAGTACAGGATGTCACTTTAAAGGTAGTATTGAGCATGAATGAGGCAGCACAGGTTAGGGCATTGTGATATTTGCTGGGGGTTTATAGGATTTTAGGTGTTTCTTTCTTGTCTTTGTTTAATCTCATTTTATTGTGAGGGATTTAGAATAAGAAGTAAGTACTGTCTGATCCACACTATGGAACAGAAAGGTGGCGGTAATGCACCATTGAGCTGGATGCCAACCGCCTTCAAACCCGAAGAAGAAGACAGTTTCATAACAATACGTCACGTCCTCTGACCGCTGCTTAAGGTAACTCATTTCATTTAAAGATGCCAAAATACTAGCTATACCTTTAACATATTTACACCACTTTGTCAACAGTGACTGATAGTTACCATGTTAAGCCATGTGGTTAAATTACGTGATGTTCCGCGAGGCCACTGTCTCTTAGTTAGCTAACAAGCAGGCTACATACCTAGCATGTTTCTATGACTAAAAAACAGCATTTCATTTAAGGAGACTTTTATTTTGAAATTGCGGAATGAGTGTAGCCTATTTAGGTATCCGCGTAAACTCTGATAAGATCGAGACAATTTTAATGTGCTTAAATTGCACTAAGGTTGCTCATTATAGTTTTGAATGTGTTAGCTGATGGTTGTTGAACCATCCACGAGTTTGATCATGATTTCCCCTGTGAAACATCTGGAACCAGCTGTGCAGAATAGTATAAAATACTGTGTTATCAGAGCAAGGCTGTTTTGGGCGTAATATATAACTGGTTATGAATTAGAAGGTTGTAAATGTTATGCATGATGTGCAAAAATGTTGATTATGGTTGATGAAATGTGTTGATGTTCACAACATGTAAACATCTGGGTGCACTCTGTGTTGAAGCAGCATGGAGATTACATTACAAATGGCTTTTTCATCACTACACAAACAGCAAATCACTTTAATACAGGTAGTAGTCCCAATGTGTTTTAGTGGAAAATACATTGAGATAATACATTTCTGTCAGCATTCTGTAAACATTTCTGTCAGCATTCTTGTTTTAAAGGGGGACGTTTACATGAACTAGCACAACTGTGATTGTTTACATTTACTTTTCTTATCTGTGGGGCTTAGTGACAACAGGAAGCCCCAGAGAAATCCCCTGACTGCATAACGTTAAGAGGATATTGTTGTACAACTGCCTGAGGTTTCCGTGGATAGAGAAACAAAAGTATTTTACATCTGGTAGTATCCTGTCTTGATAGGAGCACATGGCCGACAGTGACACACCGTTGGCCTTTCAGAGCATCACCACAGCTGATACCATTGTTTGATTAATGTTTGATATGTTATTCTGTATCACTGTAATGGTCTGCTCATCATAAAGCTCCCTCTGCTATAAATTATTAATTCTCTTGCTCCTTTAGGTTATCTACCTCATGACTCAATGTTGCGTTTGATCGCAACATCCCTGTGCCTCAGATGCCAAAGTGCCGCAGCTCTATCTTTACACATAAGACCATGTGCAACACTCATCCCAGCAGAGAACCAGCAGACTGTGGAGGCTCTCTACGATCTCTCTGTGGACATCCAGAAGGTGCGGAAACTAAATAGCTGGGTCTTGCATCAGAGCCCAGCCTACACTAAGGAGGTAGCAGACCTGCTGAAGGACTTAGGGGCCTCGGGCCCTGTCATTGCCCGGATCCTCACAGTTCACCCTGAGGCGGTTCTCTGCCAGCCGGAGCAGATGCAGACTCAGAGGGAGCTGTGGATGTCTGTGTGCCCGAAACACAAAGAGCTGGTTGGTATCATTGAGAACTTCCCAGCCTCCTTCTTCACTTCCTCCAGCCACCACGACAACCAGCGGAACAACATCACTTTCTTCCAGAGCCTTAACCTCAACAAGAGAATTATCACTAAGCTCATGGCCAGCGCTCCGCTGAGCTTCAGTCGCCCGGTGGAGCAGAACGAGGTGATGGTGCGCACCCTCCAGCAGGCTTACCAGGAGCTCGGGGGGGAGGAGGCCAACATGAAGATCTGGCTGCAGAAGCTGCTGAGTCAGAACCCGTTTGTTCTCATGAAGCCCCCTGAGGTTCTAAGGGAGAACCTGCTGTTTCTGAGGGACAAGGGTTTCAGCACCGCCGAGCTCCTCCACCTGCTCTCCAAACTCAGGGGATTTGTCACTGAGCTGAACCCCGACAGCATGCGCCGCACCCTGGCGTACTCACTGGACACCATTGGCTGCTCCGAGGCAGAGCTGCGGCACATCGTCCTCAACTGCCCGGCTGTGCTTTACTACCCTGAGGATATTCTGGCCGAGCGCTTTAAAGGCCTGCTCAGTGTTGGAATCAGCATGTTGCAAATCAAAGAGACTCCGACCGTTTTGGAACTGACCACGCAGATAGTGAATTATCGCATCCAGCGACTGATGGTGCACGGGTATGACGTAAGGACAGGTAGTCTGGAGGTCCTTAATGGCACTAAAAAGGACTTTGAGATGAGCTATGGAAAATTACATCTACGTAGTGAAAGACCTATCTTTAACCCTGTCGCCCCTCTAAAAGTGTATGACTGACATCATTTGTATGGATTAAATCAAGAGAATTAAAGTTTAAACTGGATGTGTATTAATATTCTTATTATTTATGTTATTCAGGATTAAAGTGTGCACCCATTTCAAACATTTAATTAATAATGGGATACATCTGTTTATCCCACATATATCTATTTATGCCACTTTAACTTGAGTGTCTTTTGGAAAGTATCTCAGTATGCTCGATTTATGGGTGTAAATACAGGCTAAATGTATATTTAAGGTGTGCAAAATTAGGATGAAGGATCATACTTAAGTATTTGAGAGTCCCTTTCTGCTGCCAAAATATTCAACCTGGTGGAATTCAAAGTAATTTAAATCCAATCAACAGACTACTTTTGAGTCATGAGACAAGCCCTTATTTCCTGTAATAATGAAGTGTATCTAAACACCAAATGCAGAACATTAAAATATTCACCCGGATCAAAGAAAACTCACAATATTTCAGTCTGATGGCATTACAAATTAAATGCATCACACTTACTGCAGGAGTAAATTTGTGTTGAGTGATTAGGTATCAACTTCCCAGAGAGTAAGACAAATGTATTGGCATCAAAATATTTAGGAGAGAGTCCCTTGCCAAATAAAGAATGTATTACAGCTTATTTGCGAGTCACTTTATTACAATAACTTCAAAATTCAAGGCTTTTATTGTCATTCGTACATAGCTTCAGTGTAGTTATGACGATGAACATCTTAGTTTACAGGCTCCTCCAACAGTGCAACACAATAAAACAGATAAAATAGTGCAAGTAAATACAATAAAATAGAATGGAAGTAGTGCCATAAGAGTCTATACAAGTAATAAATAATTTGTAAGTTACAAACAGGTGAATGTTATGGATGTTCTTAGTTCAGGTGTTTAACAGTCTTATGGCCTGTGGAATAAAACACTGCATAATATAACTGGGTAATGAGTATAACTGCGGACAAACAAGCCTGTTCAAAGCTTTTTATTTACAGCCTGTGTAAGTCTCTTATTTTCACACAATGTTCTTGGCAGCACTGTTTCCCTCAGGGAAAAAATCAGTGGCAGATTTGTATTGTTAGTTTACAGATGGAGACACTTCACTATATGCCATTTCACTACAGAAATGTCATTATAATTTTAAAGGAATTCAAATGCTATTGAAAGATGAGAAAAAGAAAAGTCAGGAAAATGTCCTATGATTTGAACGGTTTCTTTAAATGCACTTTTCAATATTAATTCAAAAAGCAGTTTCAGTTCTTTCATGTAAAATAGATTTTCGATTATATTTGGCTTAATTAATGAGCTTTTCCTGTCTGTGTGCGTCATTCAGAGGTAAAAAGACTGCTTTTGGGCTAGTGCCCACTTTTACTTAAGTGTCGGCCACAAAATCAATACACAATTTTACTGAGCATTGTCTAATCAAAGGAGGGCATTGCAAAAAGGTTGTGTTTTGAATGTGTCTTAATATTTCAAAGCCAGCAAAAGCCCTTGAAGCATGTGAAAGAGTGCCCTTTAATGGGAGTGGGCTCCACGGCTAATGAAGCCATGACTTTATGCCTGAAGGTTCCTACTCTGTGTAAGATGGGGGTCACAACAAAAACAGAGAGAGGACTTGTGTGTCCAGAGGGACGAGGTGGGACAGGAGGGGGGGGGGATTATATACTTTAACAACTTCCACTGCCCATCTGCCACTTCCTGCATCAAACAGCAAGGCTCTGTAGTCATGGTGATAGCCACTGGGCAGATTATGCGAAAGTGAGCGCATCTGGTAATGAATTTGTGCTCAGCAGATGGATGCTTGAGTTCATTTTTAAACCATTCATAACATGGAAACCCTGAGGGCTGTACAACAGGAGTACACCGCATCTGATGTACTGACGGTTTCTAAAACACAGACATCCGTGACATTTTTTAAAAACTCATCAAGGTTGAGTTTCGCTCTGCAATAAATACAAGGAGTTAATCAGGATGGGACAAGGCCTCAGGTGTATAAATGCAAGTCACCTCTATTTCTTACCCACCGTCCTCTTGTCCTCTGCGGCCGTGGCGTGCCGCACTGTGGGTTTGAATTACGAAGACAAGCCAGAGAGGTTAATAAGAGGGAGTATAAATTGTACTTTTTCATTTCAAACACGACACTGGTTGATATTAGCCACGCTTAACAAATTGCTTTTATGGATTATATCTCACCTGAAACAGATGACATCTGCAATTAAAAGCTATGATATCCAGCGGAAGTCAGGACTTGGACGACAACTACAGCAGTAAATATTCCTCAATGGGAGTTACATTTTTATTTTTTAAGTATATTCATCAAAACAAGCTAATGCAGGAAAAAAAGAAACACTTTTTTGTAACTGAAATAGTCCCTATTTCTCAAAGGAAAGTACTGTGTTCACCACTAAGGAAAACTTAAAGTCGCAATATATATTAATATTTGTTTTCCTCAATAGACCTCTAACATTCCGCCTCAAAATAAAAACATGAACAAATATTGTTATTGCACTTGTGTTGTGTTTCTTTAAATAAAAAATAACATTTGCAGTTCAACTTTTTCTATACTCTTAAAGCTAGAAAATTGGTTTTCTGTTATTACTTGTCTCTCTAGCTGTTGAGATAACTCAAATATACCATGATGTGGGAGGAAAATAAACCTCACATTGATGAAAAAATCAATGCCCAGGGCGGCAGTGGTTCAGTCTGTAGGGGATTGGGCTTTGGACCGAAGGGTCGCCGGTTCACGTCCCGATCGGACCAAAAATACGGAGTGTAGACTGAAACTAGAGGAGCCAGTTCGCCTCCTGGGCCACTGCCGAAGTGCCCTTGCGCAAGGCACCTAACCCCCAACTGCTCACATGTGTGCATATAACTGTGTATTTGTATGTAAAAAGTGTGCACTGTGTGTACTGTACCTGTATAAAAAAAACCTGCATGTGTGAGTGGAAACTGAATTTCCCCCTTGGGGGATAAATAAAAGTCCATCTTCTTCTTCTTCTTCAAAAAGTAAATAAGGTGGGGATAATGTAAAACATAATCTTGAACTAATTCAATATTAATAGCGGTACTTTATTAACAAGGTACAAGAAAACTAAAATAATTTAAAATGTATTCATAACATACCCTTGAAACAACTGTATTCATTCAACATTCTTGCAATTTTTCAAGATTGAAGATGAACATACAGTATAATGATAGCCTTCAACCAATAGTAATTTTTTTACTGAAAGATTAACCATAATAAAGCAACTCAATGTTACCTCCATTGAATAAGATGTTAGCTCCATTATTGATCCTGCTTACATAAAAGAGCTCTCCTGCTGCCATTATCAACAAATATTTGTCGTTCACAATTAAGTTCTTTCAATTAAAAAATAGGAACAACAGGACGCTCTAGTATTGGTGCCTGTAACACACTCAACCCAACATCCCATAGATAAAGGCTCAAGACACCACTGAGGAAAATTAACTGTGCCAAATAAATGACTAAAAGTCACAAATATCAATATTCAAATATTCTTATTGTTATGAATCAGGAGTATGTCATGAAATAATGTTTAACTATCTTAGTTTTCTTGTTTGTACAAAAGTGTTTGTATCAAAATGTAATTAGTTGAAGATGATGTGCTTTGACTAAGGGTTTCATGGCGAACATGAAATCCAATACCTATAGGGCTCTCTGTCAGGACCCAGGGTGCTATTTTCATTAATGACCGCCTTGTTTTACATTAACCCGTGTGTGTGTGTGTGTGTGTGTGTGTGTGTGTGTGTGTGCATATGGGTATGTGTTGAGCAGGTCTCCCTTGAAAAAGAGATCAATGATCTCAATGGGATACACCTGGATAAATAAAGGTTTGAAATTAAATGAAATCTAAGTTGGTGGTTAATTCAGTTCCCGGGAGCATTAAGGTGAGCTGTCATTCCTTTTCTCATTGAGTTGCCTCCATCTAGTGGCAAAAAGCAACACATACAACCAGATGAGGAAGGATTGTTTTATTTTTTTTGACCATTTCATGAAAAAAAACTATCAAATTCACAAAAAACTAGACAGATAAAACCTTCATCCAAAAGTACGCCCATTATTATTATTTATGACAAGGTGACAGCACAGGGTGGCTGTTTTTTTAATTTAAAACAAGAATGGGATTTCAGGCATGTCAAAGAGTATTAACACTGGAATGTTCCGTATAATACAAAAAGTGATAGCAAGACTTTGGCTTTCCCTGTCCATGAGTTGACTCGGAAATCGATCTTGAAAGGTGTGAACAAGTAATGAGTGAATTTGAGTTTTTCTCTGTTAAATGTCTAAACCTCGTCGCCGGTCTCTCTCTTGAATACTTGGAATTGGTACTTAACACCCTTCTCTTCTTGAATTTCCCTCGGTACACCAGGAAATCTGGTTAGGAAACAAGGTCAAAAATAGCTTTGTGAATTTATTTAAAGAACAGAAAACTGGCAAACACAATAATTAAATAGATAAACAATATCCATACATAATACACATTTGTTAGGGAATACAACCTAGTGACATAGAACAATTAAAATACTTTTTAATTACAAGTTGTAATGTATCGCCTCAAATAATAAAAAGACAAGGGAATGATCTACTTTTAGTACATTCTTTTGTAATTTAGTCTTCAAATTCAGTGCAGAGAATTTTAAATAACAAGAGAAACCACCAACGTTGCGGTCCTATGGTAGTGCTGGTGTTTATTTTGTAACAAAGGCAAAAATAACTTTCTCATGGGGCGTCAGCAAAGTGTGCCGAGGTTAAAAACAACTTTAAATGTCACTTCTCACGGTTTGGACGTGGGGTCAGGACAACACACACTATAATGGTCTGGGGAGGAGATGGACACTCACCCTTCTTGTAGTTTAAAGAGTTCTCTGTCAAACTCGGGGAAGAAAACGTCGCAGTCAAAGTCTGCCAGGACCTTCGTAAGGTAAACCAAGTCACACCACCGATGCAGCAGAGCTTCCTGATCAGAAGAATGAACAGTTGACAGTGCACATTGACAGTATTAACAATGTGGCGTTTCTTTTTCAATACGGTAATATTTGGTATA